GCCTCCGTTCCCCGTCTTACCCCCCGCCACATGTTCTTATCGAGGGAGATATGGGGAAATTCTTTGTGCTTAAGGGAGGGGGGGGGAGGGGAAAGACAGTCTGCACATGCTCAGAGGCATGACTCAGAGGATGAGATCTGTGGCAAACTACACATTTTCCCTGCAGGGTAGCGCTATTAGCTACCTATAGCATGTTTTCTCTTTTTCTTTCTCTCTCTCTCTGGTCTGCCCCCTTAACACTCTGCTTTATCCTTGCAGCCGAATCAAGGATCCCAGTCTGAGTCCAGGTGAGCTCTGGGAAAAAATGATGGTGAAAGGGATTCTGGGAATGTTGTTGGGCTAGGGAGGGTTGTAGCTGGATCCCATGGGAGGAAAGCCACTCAGGTAGCAGCTTTGGCTAGGCCCAAAGCAGCAGGTTGATTCCCACCTGCAAGATGCCAAGGAGTGGACCGGTGTTCCCTCTCAGCTGAGTTAGTGTGAGCTAGCTCACAGTTTTTTAGCCTCTGGCTCACACATTTTTGTCTTAGCTCAGGGAGGGATGGCCCCAGAGCAAACTAATTTATGCAGCAGCCAGATCACTCGCTCACCACTTTAATGCCAGTAGCTCGCAAAGTAGAATTTTTGCTCACAAGACTCCACAGCTTAGAGGGAGCATTGGAGAGGACCCCTCCCTTTTCCTCCTGAGGGAGCAGGCAGCTGGAGAGAATGACAACTGGGACCAGGGGTTGGTTTGGGGGCCACCTCTCATGGGAGACACCATTCAGAAGGTGACTCTTCTGGCAAATGTGCTACTCCGGGCACAGAGGGATGGGCAGCTACAGGTATGGCCTCCTTTCTCCACCATCACAAGATCTAACATTTCCCTTCTGTCTTTGGTCCCTCTCTTCTTTGTCTCTCTCCAGGGCCACTGAGCGCCCGAAGGACAAACTATAACCAAGGTGAGGCTTTGGAAAGAGTAGCCCTGTAGTATCTGAAGAAGTGAGCTGGATCCCATGGGAGGAAAACCACTCACAAAAGCTCCCACCCTGCCACAAATTTTGTTCGTTTTTAAGGTGCCACTGGACTCTTGCTCTTTTCTACTCCTGTAGTAGCATTAAGGGTATTGTGGCTGGCAGGTGAGGTTAGGAGAAATAAAAGTGTGTGAGTGTGCGTTTAAGGGATTCAGATGGTAGGTCTTCAGGCCTCTGGGAAAAGAGCCCATCATGAGGTCGCCAACCTTCAGCTGGGGCCTGGAGATTTCCTGGAATGACAACTCATCTCCAGACTGCAGAGATCAGTTCCCCTGGAGAAAATGGATGCTTTGGAGGGTGGACTCTGTGGCATTGTACCCCACTGAGGTCCTTGTCCTCCCCAGGGTCTATCCCCTAATCTCCAGGGGTTTCCCAACCTCCAGCTGGCAACCCCACTCCACCCCCTGCCGGTGGCCGGGGGGGGGGGGAGGTCCGGGGGGGGGGATGTCCAGGCAACCCTAAGGCTAAGGCAAGAGTTCAGCCAAGGCTTCATTCTGCTGTTTTTACTTACTTGCAAGAGGTGGGTTTTTGTTGTTGTTTTGCCCATGCATCAGAGTGCAGGGTGTTGCAACCTTCCCTCGCCCCCACCCCCGACCTGCATGCAAATGTAACAACCTCGCCCACACACATTTATTTATGTATATCCTGAACTTTTCCCACCAACAAAGGACTCGAGGCAGCGTTTTAATAGTCCTCTTTCTTTAAGTGGTTTATTTTTAAGACCCATCCCTCACCCACCCAGACACTATTTTTTTACTAACCCTAAACAGTACAGGCTTAACTTCAGCAACCTAGTTATGCGATATGTCCCCTAACCATAACCAGTGACCTACCAAGCACCACCAGCACATGGTTTAAAAACAAAAATGTAACCAGGGTAAAGTCAGGAGGACAGGACTAACTGTTGCCTGTTGTCTGTCTATCTGCAGGGGTTTGGGTTGTCCCATTGGTGTGGAGATGGATTTATGTGCAAGCTAACTAAGCTACAGTTTAGGGCCTTGAATTATTTATGGGGTGCCTCTGATTACAAAAAATCACAATTTCTTGGTAGTTCCTACAAGGCCTCTTAAATTTGACATGGTTTAGGGCAGGGGTTGCCAATTTTTTGAGCCTGTGGACACCTCTGACATAGCATGGTGGGCAGAGCCAGAAAATGGCTGCCACAGGCGGCAGAGCCAGCCACAGAATGGCCGCCCCAGATTACCTTCAGTCACACAGTGAAGATCCTTGTGCTGTGGTGGCAGCTGCTGCCAAAGCACTGTGTTTAAAAATCTGCACAGCCAATCGAATTTTCACTGGCAAGTAGAAGCCTTGCTGGGCAAAAGCCTCACCTGGAACTGCCCGCTTTCTAAAAACACTTGGTGGGTACCAGGAAAGGTGTTAATGGGCACCACAGTGGGGACCTCTGGATTAGAGTCTCAGGGTGGCTTAGTCCAGCCCTGCGTTTCTGGCACCTGGCTGCTGTCTCCGCCCATTCATTTCTTCCTCTCTTTAGAAAGACATTCCGTCAAGATGTTCCTGCGTGGCCGGCCTATCACCATGTACATCCCTTCCACTTTCTTGAACTATGATGACCTGCGCATGGAACAGCCATCCGAGAAGCTGCAGCTGGACTGGGTGTATCCTTCTTGAGGGGAACCGTTGCTCACTGGGGGCTTCAGAGGGGGCTGCAGCTCATTGTTAGGGAAGACTCTTATCTGCCTTAGAGATCTGGTCCCGGCAGGCCTGTAGCCACAGTGGGGCATTTAGGGGTGGAGCCCCACCACAGAGGAGCCCTGACCCACCCCAGGAGGATGCCAGACCCCCCCCCACCCCTGGTACGTCGCACCCCCACAGTGGCGGAGAGGCTGGGGAAGGAAGCCCCCCTGCCGCTTCTGGTCAGTTTCACTCCCCACAAACCTTCTCTCTCTCTCTTTCCTTCGCTACCCCCACTTTAATCTAATTATGTTCCCCACTCCCCTGCCCCAGTGCCCTGGCCCCTTCTCCACCAACCAAAAATCTCTGGCTACAGGACTGTTCAAGTATAGAAAACAGTGTGTTAGAAGGCCCAGTAAATAGTCCTTATGGAATAAAAACAGGTCCCCACTTTTTAATTGCCTAAAATACTTAATTACTTACTTGCTTATTTTTACGGCTTAAATGAACATGGTGCGGTGTAGCAATTAGAGCGTCGGACTCGGTTCTAGTTCAGATCAAGCTGACTGGGTAACCTTGGGCCAGTCACTACCCCTCGGCCTAACCTCCCTCACGGGTGTTGTGGTTTGTTGTGAGAGTCCCACTGGGAGGAAAGCACCACATACACCTTGACAGGACAGCTGCAGATTTCTGCGCTTAAAACCTGGTCGCCTTTGGAAGTGATGATACTGGGGAATAATCAACAGCTTTGTCGAAAGGGGAGGTTTAGAGGAGGAATTTGAAGGCTAGGAGAGAAGTGACATCTCTTACATGTCCCACATGCTTAACTGATTAAATTTACTTGACTTGTTTTAATGGATTAACTGTTGTTGGTTAATCTGCCGATAAAGGCAGATTATAACATAAGGATTATGATGGCCTAACTCTGAGGTGGTGTTGTGTGGTTGATTTCGTTGTCAATCGTGCCAAGTGGGCAGGTCCCAGAAGACTTTGCTTTCTCTGCTTTGTATTTGGGTCCTTGACAGCAGTCCCAGCTACGGTTACCGAGGCCGTGATTGCCGTTCCAACCTCTATGTGCTGGCCTCAGGAGAGCTGGTCTACTTCATCGCCTGCGTGGTTGTCCTGTACCACGTGCAGAATCGCACACAGCGACATTATCTAAACCACACAGACTGCGTACGCTGGTGAGTGGCCAGGGAGTAGAGCGATCTGGGTCTTGCGTCCTCCTGACCCAGTACTGGTGTGTATCCAACTATCTGTACACAAAAAGCACATGGATATTCCCCCCCAGCAAGGTGATTCCTGGGGTCATGGAATTTACACAGAGGAAGAGCCATGCAGAGTGAGGAGGAACAAATGGATGAAACTGACGCCTTTCCTCAGCAGATGAAGAGGGAGCAATTTCACACCTTTGTTGTTCCTCTCTCGTCCTCCACCACCACCGCTGCTGCCACTCCTGGCTTTTCCTTCACATGGGTCCCGCAGTGCTGGGAATGATCTTTCTGCAGGTCAGTAGGGACTGCAGGAGTCAAGAGGAATGCAGGCAAATGTGATGTCCCGTCTCCTGACATATAAAACATCCTCTTCCTCCCCAGAAATGTGGAGACATTCACTGTCTGGCCTGGTTCTCACTGCGGTAGCCAGGCTTTGTCTGTACATTTTAGACTGCGAGTGGGATGCTCCTCCACTTGTTTATATATAGCATGCAGTAACCAACGTCTTCCTCTTCCCAGTAGTTGTAGCGCTTCATGTGTGTATATAGACTCTTAAGATTCTATGTTTCCTCCAGCCTAGCTGTGCATCCGGACAAAGTTCGTGTTGCTTCGGGGCAGATGGCTGGTGTGGACAAGGATGGCAAGGTAAACCCCCAGAGCTGGAAGGCTTCTGAGGTCCTGATCTCCCATTCCTGATCTGTTAATTAAAACTTTGGCCCAGAGGCAAGTTAGGTTGCTTTCCCTTACTTTTAAGTGTTCAATTACCCTTTTGTCAAAACAGAATTAGCTTGCCTGGAGCAAAAGATAAAGCATGATGACATCCTCTGGTAATCTGACTATCTCCTTCACGCAGCAGGGTGCAAACAAAGCAGTATCTTTCCCACTGTCTCAGTGGGGTGCAAACAAAGCAGTATCCTTTCCACTGTCTCAGCAAGGTGCAAACAACTAATATTTTCGATTAATAACATGTAGGAGGGTTACATTATGAGAAGACAAGAGTCACTGGAAAAGACAATAATATTAGGAAAGGTTGAAGGCAGTAGGAAAAGAGGAAGACCCAACATGAGATGGATTGACTCAACAAAGGAAGCCACGGCCCTCAATTTGCAAGAACCGAGCAAGGGTGTTAACAATAAGATGAGGATATTAATTCACAGGGTCACCAGAAGTCAGAAGTGACTTGACAGCACTTAGCACACACAAAAACAATGCAAATAAAAAGAGAAGTCTGGTTTTAAAATAAATTGGTCTGTAATAGTTTAGATAATTCATTAGAATTATCTGATCCTTGCTGCATGATTTCTGCAGCCTGGCTTGTTTTACACTCTGTCTCTTTAATGTCTAGGGTTTGCTGACCTTTTTCCCCCTTCTATTTCTCTCACTTTCTCTCTCTCTCTCTCTTTTGCAGCCTCTGCAACCCTTTGTTCATATCTGGGACTCATCCACCCTTCTCCCACTGCAGAAGATTGGGTTGGGAAGCTTTGAGAGGGGGGTTGGTTCGCTTGCCTTCTCCACTGCGGTAAGTGCCACCTTTGCGACGCTTCTTACCCGAAACCAGGAAACAAAAAGCGAAACAAATCACCCCATTTCCTCCAGGGGGTTTATTTGTAACCATGCTAAATCTTCAGCTTCTGTTTTCGGTGCTAGATGCTAACCTCGGAACATATGAAGTATGAAGGGACGGTAGTGCCCCTCAGCAGGTGCAAGGGTATATTTCTCTTGCCACTGAGAGTGATGCTTAAATAACAGGGGGGGCAAGAGGGACTTGGCCTGTGACAGGCCCCGCTGTTTTTTCAGAAGGCAGGGTGGGTGGGGCAGGACTCTGCAAGAAGACCATAAACCAGGGGTGGCCAAACTTGCTCAGTGTAAGAGCCACACAGAATAAACGTCAGATGTTTGAGAGCCGCAAGACATGACCAAATATTACACACATCTTTTTATTTTTAAAATATGCAAACTTGCTTTTTATTAACATTAAATGAAGCTGCCAAAAATAAAAACAAAAGGGGTAAAAACAAATATTTATAAGGATATATATTTGTCCAATGACATTTATTTGTTTGCTAATGATATTTATTTATCTGAGAGAGAAAAATAGAGAGGTGAAAAGAATGAAAGAGATGGAAAGAGAGCGAGAGAAACAAAGAAAGCAAATAGATGTGGGGGGAGAATAGGTATGCCTTCCCTTCGCTTCCGTAGCTGCCCTGCTGGGAGCCACACAATGGGTGCGGTCAGACAGCGTGCTGGGAGCGGGTTAAACTGCTCCGACCCCATGCGTTTTTTTTTAACCTGCAGAATCACAATCACACTCACCTCCTTGTTCCGGATCGCTGCGCAGCCACATCGCTCCCTGCCGTCCACACGCGTCAGTGTTGTTGTTTTTTTCTCTCAGTTTGGGCATGCGCACAGGCAGCCACTTGTAGAACTAAAATTTTCGCGCATGCACAGAACAGCAATTTCCTCTTCAACCCGACTGCTGTAACACTTCCCTTTAAACGTTTACCCCGAAAATGGCCTCCGTGAGATCTCGAACTCGTCTAAAGGCTAACACTAGGCACCGTTTAAACATTGTTTTTAATAACGTGGCGGTGGACCTCCGCCTATGCGCACACCGCCAACGCTTAAAAAAAATGGCGGGCAAAAAGCGGAAGCCTCGGGCAGCTTTCGAGTGGGGAGGGAGTTTAAACCGGAAGTGGCTCGACACCAGAGGAGCGATCACACAGTGGGAAAATGTGGCTGGAGCCGGAGAATCAGGAAAACACCACTTGGGGACCTGGTATCAAAATACTCTGGATTAAAACAGTTTTGAGATGGAAAGCGATGGCTGGGAACGGGAGGCAGATGTTGACCGTGTGATCGCGCAGATAAAATCCATTTCTGAGGCGGGCCGAAAGCGGACTAAACGGCCCATCTGATCGCAGCCAATATGTGTGAAAGAGCCACATGCACCATAAGCAGAACTGTTATGGATCAGACCAGTTTCCATCTAGTCCAGCATCTTGATTACCACAATGACTAATCAGAAACCCAAACAGAAGGCTCACAGGCAGGCCATGGAGGCCAGGGCTTCACTCTGCTGTTGCTCTCCAGAGGTCCACGGCTTCTGCATATGAAGGTTCCATACAGCCATCGTGGCTATGAGCCATTGATAAGCAAATCCTCCATGGTGGTGTTGAAGAGTGCCATCAAGTTGCAGCCTATTGATGGTAACCCCAAATGGTTTTTGAGGCAAGAAACACACAGAGGTGGCTTGCCATTGCCTGCCTCTGCATAGAAATCCTGGCCTTCTTTGGTGGTCTCTCATCCAAGTACTAGCTAGGGTTGCCAGGTCCTTCCTGGCAACCAGCAGGGGATGGGGCGGGGACTTACCAGGAGAAAGACAAAGGCCCTGGCCACATCGCCAGCATCACACAGGAAGGGACACCATCAGACTTCAACGCTGCTGTGACACTGGTATTTGGGCAAACACTCTATGGTAAAAACAGTTTCTACCATAGAGATTTTGCCCAAATACCAGCGCATTGCCCAGACTTTGCTAGCATGATGATGTCACTTCCTGTGCAATGCTGGTGATGTGGCCTGTGCCTTTCTCTTTCTCCTGATAAATCCCCCTGCCAGCCAGCTGATGGGGGGGGCAGGGCCTGACAGCGGGGGGCCTGCCTCCACCGGGGGGCTGTCAGTCCTAGTAATAGAGCCAGTGCCAGCCCTGCTTAGCTTCTAAGATCTGATGAGACTGAGCTAGCCTGGGCCATCTAGGTCAGGGCAAATCCTCCATGAATTTCTCTAATTGCCTTCTGAAGCGATCTGAGCTCATTACATCTTGTGGCAGTGAGTTCCGTAAGTTAACTGTGCAAAGAAGTACTCTATTTTGTCAGTCCTGAATTATTATACCCATTGGGTGAACCCGAGTTTTCTAATAAGGAAGATGTTCTCTCTCTCTTCGTGTTCTCCACACTGTGCATGGTTTTACAGACTTCCGTCGTGTCCTGTCATGACTCATTAACGTATTCCCCTGCCTTTCCCTCCATAATTCAAACACCAGGTGAGAATCTGTACACTGATTCAGGAGAATGTCCTCCAACTTTTTTCAGGTATACGTGAGCTTTAGCACCCATTTTTCTAAAAGTTAAGCAGTAGGGCTGGGTATACTCTATGCTTTTTAAAAAAAAATAGAAATGCTGAAGCAGAGCAATCCAAAGAATGTATACAGAAGAAAAGGACGTTTGCATATCGTTTACTATTTTATAATTTATTCTGCTGCTATAGAAGTAAGTGGCTTTGCAGGGGACTGACTTTCTGAGCACTAGAAATCTTCTCAGCACTCAGAGATTTTGGTATATGTTGCCCCCGTGCTTCTCTGAGCATGTCCTCCATCATAAGGGCTAGAAACTTTTTGTTAACATGAAAAGTCAGCTGAATTCTGCACCCAGTACTGAAAGGCCTTAGAGTGCTGGCCTTATGCAGGCAAACTTGGTTTTCTTTCTTTGTCCTCTCCTCGCTTTGGATTGTGGAATGCGCATAGTCAGGCCCTAGTCTATTCTATAACTGCACATTTGTCTGATGCGTCTCCAGGACGAAGGAATGTACCTGTGCGTGGTGGACGAGTCCAACGAACACATGCTGTCCATTTGGGACTGTTCCCGTGCTAACAAGCTAGCTGAAATCAAGGTGGGTGCTACAAAGCCTCAGGCCTGGTAGCCGCCCAAAAGCAGCGCCCACTAGTTGTATACTCTGGCCTTCTGGGCACTGAATAATCACACAGGTGCTCACTTGTTTTTCCAAGTTCAGCAAAATCCAAGAGGTTTGGGTAGTGTTGCCAATCCCCAGTTGGGGGCAGGGGATCCCCCAGTTTGGAGCCCCTCCCCCTGCTTCAGGTCTGTCAGAAAGTGGGGGAGGGAACAGCTGCTGAGTGCTCCTGCCGTGGGTACTGGCTCTGCTGAGGCTGACTACTCCTCAGATGAGGAAGAGGTAGGGAGCAACCCAACCTCCTCTGGAGTCAGCCCAGAAGAAGACCCCTCAACAGTACCTGAGGAGGAAGAGTCCCCAGCAGCTGCACAGGAGGTGCAGCCAGAAGGAGAGACCAATCCTGAGCCTGGCCCAGCACCCCCAGTTGCAGACTCCCCGCCTAGTTCTCCTGAGTGCCCCAGACGTAGGGCACGCCAGACGCTGAGGACCTCAGTGGGGGACAATGCCACGGAGTCCACCCTCCAAAACATTCATTTCCTCCAGGGGAACTGATCTTTGTAACCTGGAGATGACCTATAAGTCCAAGGGATCCCCAAGTCCCACCTGGAGGCTGGCATCCCTAGTAGCAGGAAATCTCCAGGTGCCACCTGCAGGTTGTCAACCCTGCATGCACAAGGCCTAGTGCTTCCATGGCCCTGATATCTCCTCCCCCAACATACACCCTTTCGCAGAGCACCAACGAATCTGTCCTGACGGTGGAGTTCAACCCGCAAGACAGCAGCAACATCATCACCACCGGGAAATCCCACGTCTATTTCTGGACCTGGAGTGGAGGCAGCTTGACGAAGAAACAGGGCATCTTTGGGGTAAGGAGGCCCTGGAGTGGGGCGGGAGGCTTCATCCGGAAGGGTCGAGGAGGTGGGTGGCGGAGAGTAAGGCTCGGGGGGGGGGGTGCCAGGCCACAGGTGGGCTGTGAGATCAAATCTCGACTCCTCCCTGGCATTGGGGAATCATGAGGGTTAAGCCATCAGGACCAGAGGCAAGATGTAGTGTGGGAGGGCACCTGTCGAGGTCTGTGGCCCAGCAGAGGGCAAGCTGGAGTCGCTGAGTCAATCTGGTGCCTGGCACCAGTGGCGAAGCAAGAAAATTACCCCCTCTGCTACCTCCTCAAAACATCCCCCCCCATAGGTTTGCCAGCTCCATCTTGGAGAGGGCCACGAGAGCCAGCGGAGTGCAGAGGTTAAGAGTGGCAGACTCTGATCTGGGTTTGGTTCCCCCACTCCTCCTCCCCACGAAGCCCGCTGGGTGACCTGGGGCCAGTCACAATTCCCCTCAGAACTCGCTCAGCCCCACCCCGCCTCACTAGGTGCCAGTTGTGGGGAGAGGAAGGAAAGGAGATTGTGAGCCTCTCTGAGACTCCTTTGGGTAGAGAAAAGTGGGGTATGAAAACCGGCTCTTCTTCTTGGGAAGTTCCTGGAGATTTAGGGCTGTAGGTTGGGGAGAAGAGGGAGCTCAATAGAGATGTAGTATCATTAAGGCCACTCTCCACAGCTGCCGTCTCCTCCAGATATTAGTGGTAACTTAGGGAGAACTCCAGGCCTCGCCTTGAATTTGGTAACCTGACCCATTTTTGAGGCACCCTCCCTCTACAGACCCTCATTTCACTTTCTGTGGCTGCTGACACCCCCCCCAACAATATTTTCAGGGGGGCAGTGGGTTGCGTCGGGATGAGGAAATGGGAAAATCACTCCATAAGCAGATCTTGTTGGATCTAGTCCAACCCCGTGCTCATCCCTGACAAAAAAACAACAACAACCCTCACCACCTCCCTAGGCAGCCTATTCCACTGCTGAACTACTCTCTTTAACTATAATTCCCCCCCCTAATATCCAGCCAGTATCTTTCTGCCCATAATCTAAACCCATTATTGCGAGTCCTCTCCTCTGCTGCCAACAGGAACAGCTCCCTGCCCTCCTCTAAGTGACAGCCTTCTAGGGTTGCCAGCTCTGAGTTGGGAAGTACCTGGAGATTTGGGGGAGTGCAGCCTGGAGAGGGCGGGGTTTGGGGAGGGGAGGGACCCCAGCAGACTACAATGCCAATAGAGTCTATCTTCCAAAGCAGCCATTTTCTCCAGGGGAAGATGGTTGTCTGGAGATCAGTTGTAAAAGCGGAAGATCTCCAGGTCCCACCTGGAGGCTGGCAACCCTACAGCCTTTCAAATACTTAAACAGATCAATTGTATCGCCCCTCAACCTCCTCTTCTCCAACTGAACATTCCCATGTCTCTCAGCCTTTCCTCTTAGGGCTTGGTCTTCAGGCCCCTGATCAACTTTGGCTGATTGTGCATTGGCTTTTCCCTCCGTTGTTTTAGCGAACCCACATTGGGACAGAAATTCCCTTCTGCATTGCATGCCACTTTCACTTCCTTTGATCATGGGTTTTATTGTAGCCTCCACACTCCATGCCCCCTTCGCTTCCTTTGATCATCAGATTTTATGGTACCTTCTACATAGATTTAAGGAGCTGCGGTGGCTCAAGTGGTTAAGACGCTGAACGGCAGGCTGGAAGGTCGGTAGTTCAGCAGTTCGAGACCCGAGTGCTGCATGACGGAGTGAGCTCCCGTCTCCGGTTCCAGCTCCTGCCAACTTAGCAGTTCGAAAGCAAGAAATTGCAAGTAGATAGGTATTGCTTCGGTGGGAAGGTAACAGCATTCCGTGCGCCTCGGCGTCTAGTCATGCCGGCCACAGAAATGTCTTTGGACAGCGCTGGCTCTTTGGCTTGGAAACGGAGATGAGCACCGCAACCCTAGAGTCGGACTTGACTGGCTTTCGAGCAAGGGAAACCTTTACCTTTACCTACATAGATTTATGGCCGTTTTATGGCCGTTCAGGGGTGACTTTGCAGTCAGTACGGCGGTGGCCCCAGGAGTATTTGAATGTGGTTTTGAGCTGCACCTTTTCCTCCCAGTTGAGGAGGAATGCTAGATGCAGAACCAGCCTTTGTCGCTCTCTGAAGTGGCTAGGCAGATGAGGAGAGCTGATAATGACTCACTTCCTGCAATTCTGAGATTGAAAAAACCCAAACAAACTTCCATCTACCGGTGCCTGTACCAACCTCTCCCCTTTCTGATCTTCCCAGAAATACAAGAAGCCCAAGTTCATCCAGTGCTTCGTGTTCGACACCAACAGTGATGTCCTCACCGGCGACTCTGAGGGCAACATCCTGACATGGGCCAGGGTGGCAGCTGATATCCGAACACTGGGCAAGGGAGCGAAAGGTAGGCCAGAGACAAGAGACCCGCCCGCAATCTGGATGAAAGAGCTGGGAACTGGCCTAGTTGTAATCCATTGATTAAGGAAGGGCAGAGGTCATTTCGGGGGAGATCGCGGGGGATCGCAGTTCCCCCGGGTGAGGTACGGGGGCGGGGCACATGACGAAGCCCCGCCCCCTGCTTCCGGCCGCCCCGCTTCCAGCCCTCATTCAGCCAGGTGGAGGCAGGAGAAGAGGGAGGGTAAGTTGCTTCCTCCCTGCCTCTCCCCACCCCTGCCTGCCTGGGGCCAGGGAGGGCCTTCGCGGGCGTTGGGGGCGGGGTGTGTGGCCTTATGACACACTTCCGGTGATGTCAGGGGGTGTGGCATATGTTAATGAGTTATGCTAATGAGTTCCCCTAGCTCTTTTTCTATGAAACGACCCCTGAGGAAGGGCATTTAAATCCTCAGGGTGAAGGTGGGAGAGGGTGCCCCACAGGGAATTTAACTTTCTACCCCCTGTAATTAAAAGGGGGCAGATTGGACATCTGTCAAGGGTTGCCAACTTTGGGATTGGAAATACCTGGAGATTTTGGGGAGGATGGAGCCTGAGGAGGGCAAGGACTTCAGTGGGGTATAATTCCATACAGTCCACCTTCCAAAGTGGCCATTTTCTCCAGGAGAACTGATCTCTGTCACCTGGAGACCACATGTGATAGCAGGAGATCTCCAGCCACTGCCTGGAGGTTGGCAGCCCTGGCCTAATGTAAAGAAAACAGAGGATCTTGTGGGCCCCCTTAAAGATTTAAAGCGTTTATTATGGTGGAAGCTTTTGTGAGCTAGAGCCCATTTAATCTGATGGACAAAGTGTTGCCGTTGCTAGATAGATAGATAGATAGATGATGGTTATCGAGATGAAAATCATAAACAGTGGAGCCAAAAGACCATGAAAGGCAAGAGGTCCAGCCTGTGAAACTGTATAGCGATAAATATAGTGAGTATTTGGAACGGTAGTAACTGGTGAAACGCGGTCGTCTTAATTTTGCTGTATTTGTGTAACCCCTGTAGCGGGGACACAAAGCCCGGCTCTCAGTTGAGTCCTACATGAACCGAATCAGAACTACAGATACATTCATAATTCAGCATATCTCATGCTGGAGTCTCCCCTTTGAACATTTTTCAACCGGTAATAGAGACTTATGGTAAAACGTCTTGGCCGAAGGCCTAAGCTGTCCACTTGTCTGTCCTTGCAGAGACGTACCAAATCAGCAAGCAAACGCGGGCCCACGAGGGCAGCATCTTCTCCCTCTGCCTGTGCCGTGATGGCACCGTGCTCAGTGGCGGAGGCAAGGACCGGCGTGTTGTCCAGTGGAGTCCCAGCCTCGCCCTGCTCCAAGAAGTGGAGGTAAGGGTAGTCACTGATTCAGGGTGGAAAACAGCTCCCATCTCATCACTTACGTACTTTCCAGGTAAGGTGGTTTTCCAAGGGGAACGCCCAAGCAGGGCTAGAACAGGATCTCCAATGACAAGGGTTTAGCCATGGCCCAGGCTAGCCTGATCTTGTTACATCCCGGAAGCTAAGCTGGGTCAGCCCTAGTTAGTACGTGGATGGGAGACCACCAAGGAAGCCCAGGGTTGCTACAGAAAAGGAGGCAGTGGCAAACCACCTCTGCTCATCTATTGCCTTGAAAGCCCTACAGGGTTTTTATGCTGCCTTTCCACCTGAGCAGGGTCCCCAAGGTGGTGCACACAGAAACATTTAAAACAATTAAAAACAGCATGTAAAATGTTTAATTTATTTAAAAATTATTTTAAAGTAATTCAATTAAAAAACGCTTAAATAGTACCAGAACCAGAGAGGAAGGCGAAAAACAGTTATTGAGGGTATGCCATACAGAACAAAAATGTCTTCACCTGCTAGCCAGAAGACACCAGCAGAGTGAGACGGATGAATCTCCCTGTGGAGGGAGTGCCAAAGTTTTGGCGCTGAATTGTGGTTTTGCTATTTGGGAAGGAATCATTTGCTTGGCGGTAGTGTGCTTGTTTTGCTGTGTGCAGAACATTTCTTTGTACTTGTAAGCCACTTTGGAGACATTTCTTCTACACAAAGAAGTGGTATATAAATATTCAAAACGAATAAATGTTACTTTCCTCCAATGCAGATCCCTGAACAATTTGGTGCTGTGCGTACCATCGCTGAGGGCGACGGCGGGGAGCTGCTAGTAGGAACCACGCGCAACGCCCTGCTGCGAGGGAGCTTTACGGATGGCTTCCGACCCATTATCCAGGCAAGCCGGGATTGGCTGCTGGCAGGCCCCCCTCTTTCCCTCCTGGGCCACTCCTGTTCCTCCGACGGCTGCTCACCACTCTTTCTTTGCAGGGGCACACAGATGAACTGTGGGGGCTGGGTACTCACCCTTCGCGAGACCTTTTTGTCACCTGCGGCCACGACAAGCAGCTCTGCATGTGGGATGGTGGGGAGCACACGCTCGCTTGGAGTGTCACGTTAGAGGTACCGTATGTAAGATGGAAGGAGCACGTAGCATGGCCTCGGGGGCAGAAGGGATAGGGAGGTCCGTGTGTATGGCGCCATTCTAGGAAAGGGCTGAATACGATACTGGGCACTGGATTCCACTTATTGAGGAATTGACCTGGTTTTTTAGAAGTTTCTGGTTCTTGTGGTTCTGTTTTGGTGGCACCTGTCAAAATCTCAGATGCTAGAGAGGTAGACGAATAAGATCTTTAGGCATCAGAGGGCAGGAATTTCTCACCTCCTGAGGTTTTAGTTTCATCTCCACGTAGCTCTTTGTAGGATGGTCCTGCAGAAATAACACTTGGCTCATCTTTTTCCTTTTTTAACAATATATTGCTCCCAGATTGACTACATACAGTTATGCTGTTCCTCTCACACATTTGCCCCCCAACAAGCTCAGTCTACATAAACAGCAGCTCCACTGGTTCTGATCATATCATATGACATCAGACCTTCGTGGAGAATCTCATGTTTGGATATTCCCGCATGGGGTGTGTGTGTCAAGGCTGACCCATCTTGGTCTGAGAGATTTGTTCCCCTGTCTCAAATCGAGACCCTGGCACAAGTCTTCCCTATGATAACGTAACCAAGCTTCATCCGGGTTTGGTCTGGTTTAACTCAAAGCAATGCATATATAGCAAAATGAAGCATTACTGAAGAGATTAAAGAAAAGGGCTTTAAAAGCAATACAGTTCTCGTGGTTCATTGCAAAACTAATATGATTCCTTTATTGTAAGGAACTTCATTCTAGACAGGATACAGCAGAGATAGGATTCTAGTCTAACTCAGTAGGATGGATAGAGATGCAGGAAGCATGTCCTGCCCTCATGGTTCCAAGGTGGAGAAGAACTGTACAGTGTGGGGAGAGGGTGTCCAGCCGGAAGGAAGATTCCCTGAGAGTAGCAATCTGCACATCAAAGAGATAGCGCCAGAGAGTAAAGAGAAGGATGATCAGTGTCCTGGCCTCTCTATCTCTCTGATTCTCTATAGTCCCCCTCTGAAGTCTGAGGCTAAACGACAGTGCAAAGTCCTTCCAACAGTTCCAAATACACAGAAAATAAGAAAACAAGACAACTAACTCTATAGATGTATGGTTGTGAGAGTTGGACCATAAGGAAGGCTGAGCGCCAAAGAATAGATGCTTTCAAATTATGGTGCTGGAGAAGACTCTTGAGAGTCCCTTGGACTGCAAGGAGATCAAATCAGTCAATCCTAAAGGAAATCAAACCTGACTGTTCCCTGGAAGGACAGATACCGAAGCTGACGCTCAAATACTTTGGCCACCAAATGAGAAGGGAGCACTCACTGGAGAAGACCCCGATGCTGGGAAAGATTGAAGGTCAAAGAAGACGGGGATGGCAAAGAATGAGATGGTTAGACAGTGTTACCGATGCAGCGAGCATGAAACTCCAGAGGACGGTGGAGGACAGGAGGGCCTGGCATGATGTGGTCCGTGAGGTTGTGAAGAGTCGGACTCAACTGTGCGACTGAACAACAAAAACTCTATAGATACAGTTAGAAAGCCTTAGCAGTGTGGGTTTTACTTCTCATAGCTCTGGCAAGTTCAGTTCCCGTCAAGCAGCACAGCTCAGTGCAGATATAGCACAAGGCACACAGACTGAAAAAGGGAAGTGGGACAGGGTAATGATGTGGCCCAACGGCATAGACTATGCAGTGAGCCATAGACTTCCTGACCCTCTCCAACCAATATTTGGGCTGCCTCTGAGGTAGAGTCTGGAAGAAGCATAGGATTAAAAAAAAAAACCCACACCCAGCTGAAACTGGTGAGGTAATTAGTAGGCCTGAGAAACAACCTTGACTAACTAACAATCCCTCTAGGGAGGGGGGTGGCCAACACCTGCTGCTAACAGACTAAAGCAAAAAATGTGTTAAGTGGAACTTTCCTCAGAAAATGGCTTCTCTCTTGAAAAGGGGGAGAGCCCTACACATTAAAAAAAACCTAGAACTTTCAGGAGAACAATAGGCTATAGGGTTGCCAACCTCCAGGGGGTGGCTGGAGATCTCCTGCTATTACATCTTCTCTGCAGGTGACCGCGATCAGTTCACAGGGAGAAAATGGCCACTTTAGAAGGTGGACTATAATGGCATCATACCCCAATGAAGTCCCTCCCCTCCCTAGCCCCACCCTCCTCAGGCTCCACCCCCCAAAAAATCTCCAGGTATTTCCCAACCTGGAACTGGCAACCCTAGCTAGAAACCTCAACACCCAGTTTTCTACACCTGGGGGCTTCTTTGGGGAAAATATAGGGGAGCAATCAATCAGGAGATCTGCCCCCTCACAGATCTTTGGGGGTCTGGTTTTAAAAGCAAAACAGGCTAGCTAGAAGACATGAGCCCCTCTGCCCTCTCTGGCTGACCTCCCTTCAGCCCATCTCGCCACCTCCCAACCAGAGCTCTGCTTCTGGAAGGCCTGCACAAAAAGTGCTTCGGAAGAGGGATCGTGGGATGGGCAGCTGTTCTGACGCGTGTGTCCTTTTACTTCTCAAAACATGTTTTGGGCAGCCTTGGGTATGCCACTGTCGCACCTATCGTGTCCCTAAGTAGTATTATTACCAAAGGAACTAATGGGGGGGTCTTTCTCCACTTGTTCCCTAGGAAACGGGGCTCTGTGCCGACTTCCATCCCAGCGGGAAAGTGGTCACTGTGGGGCTGAACAGTGGACGGTAACTGCTTCCCTCCCCCCCCCCGCGCCCCATTTTTGCACACATGGAAGGGCAGCCCTATTCAGAGTCCGTAGGCTTGATCACAACTGCGTGACAAAAAGAACT